TGGTTCTATAGAAGACAGTTAGGGAAAGGCAGCGGGTCTAGACTGGGCTGGTGGGCTGGATCGAGTGATGCACAGAACCCTGCCCATTTTCTAAAGCGAAATTTGGCATAGAGTGAAATCTTTTTTGAGTTGGGTGGATAACCAAAGTCAAGCCATGTGTGGGTTTGGGTTGTTTTTTGGTTTGGTTTTATTTCCTTAGAAGGAAACATCTAAATTCAGACTTAGTGGAAGTGTGCAGGGCTGTGGTTCCTGTGGTGTTCTGTCATTTATGCCTGTCACAATAAAATTTGAACCCTTATGGAAAAGTGTGTCCATGGCCCTGTGGAAACCACAGGCTACATGGAAACGTGCCTACAGCCAAGCTTCTACAGCAGCTCTAGTACGTATGATTTACTGCATGCAGTGTATGCCTACCTTCAGAAAATAATTCCGTGGTTTAACTCTAGAATTATTTGGTAATGAAAATTTGCAGCCAGTGTTGGTACAATACTGACAGACATAGAATAGATCTCGCTGTGTTCAATTGGATAATAGGTACAAAACTTTAATAATACTTTTATGCTTCTTTTCCAGAGGAATACCCAACTATGACTTCAAGATCGGTAGAATCACATTCATTAGAAACTCACGTCCGCTAGTTAAGAAGGTCGAAGAGGTAAATAAAGTTGGGTCCTTCCCAATTTTGCACAGAATTAGAACCTTAGAGCTACTGTCCAAGTTTGTGCTTCCTCTCTCCGTACTTGTTTTTTCACAGCACACTTCTCTTAAAGTGGCAGTAGTTAAAAAGTGGTTTGAGTTAGGTGAAAGCAACCTCCGATGTCCTTGCCTGCTGAGGTAAAAAGATTGGCCTGTTGTAAGTTTAATAAGCCAGTGCAAACTTGTTTCAGTTGGCTGAAAGGCTGCTGAAATGCTCGTGTTTTATTTTCAGGGAGAAAGTGGTTATTATGTAGATTAAAGTTGTGAAATGTCTACAGTCATTTGCTGCTCTGATGGAATGTTCTTTCTAACGATCGTTCAGCTTTCATCACACACAAGCAGTGAGCAAAGAGGTAACAACCTTTTTTTTTTCCTCTTTCCTTTTTTCAGGATGAATCTGGAAGCCGGTTTATTGCCTTTTCAGGAGAAGGCCAGTCCCTGCGCAAAAAAGGAAGAAAACCCTAAGTTGTGGTACCTTCAGTCAGTTAGGAGGAAAATAAAATAACAATTGCAGCATATTGGATCCTAGTTATTGCAGTTGAGAGGAAAGATTGTTTTGCAACAGAGGAACACTTTCACTGGTTTTGGTTTCACATTTAAAACTGGAGCTGTCAGACTGTCTTAATTTTCAGTTGAAAATTAAGTTCTAGGAGTTCTGAAGGAGTTTTTTGGATGTGGAAAGAGGGAAAGTATTGGGTAAACCTGAGAAGTACAACCAACAAGTTCTGTCTTATTAAAAGGTCTGATTCTTAGGCTACATCCTTCCCTCTTATCTCCTGAGTGATGGTGGTCTCATGTTGCTCTGTGCTTGCTGTTTTTCTCCCTCTATATGTATTTTGCCACAATTTAAGGTAAGCTTTTTGGTGTGGTGCAAATGAAGGCTAACACTTGAGTGTTTAAGACTTTTGTGCAGGGAGCCTCTCTGATCTTAGCGTCAGGTGTTGGGTTATCAATCATTCTAAGTAATCCCCCTGTAACTGCTTTTTATATTTATACTTAATAACATGCCTTTTAATAGTTCAGATAGAGTAACGTACTGTAGCACTCTTCTGGCATGTGTAGGGAGAAGCGAGACCCAGCTTCTAAGCCCGGTGCTGGTGAGGGAGCGCAGAGCTCCGGCGCTTTGGAATAGCGGTGCCGGTACGAACCTGCGCATCCTTTCGCGTGCCGGCGGGCGGTTACCGAGCCTCTGCCTGGGTAACCGGGGGGAGCCGCGGCGCGTCTTCCCGAAAGGCCGAGTAAAGCTTCCCTGGTGACCAGCGTGCGTCCCTGCTGTGGTGATTTCAGGAGAAAAAAAAAAAACAAAACAACCACAAAGTGCTGGGG